GTGTGTGTGTGTAATAATAAATGTAAAAGCTACTTCTATAGTCGGTTTGGTTCGATTTTTTCGGTTATTTTTTTGATTAAAACCAAAACCAAACCAAATTTGATCGTTTTTAAAATTCAAAACCAAAACCAAACTAAACCTAAAAAGTATCGGATTTTTTTATCGGTTTGGTTCGATTTTCGGTTTGGATCGATTTTTTGGGTTTTTATGAACACCCCTGGATAGAATAATGCATATGTCCACTATTGGTGAGAATTAAGAAAAGAGGGAAGTTAAGGGAGAACAGAAGAGTGTTTACCCGTAAAATGGTACAGTTGAATTTATACATAGTTTCTAGAGAAGTAGACTAATTTGATCTTGAAATAATGCAATAATTAAAGAAATATACAATACTTAGCCTTAAAATATAGTTGAAACAGCAGAGATAATAGTTCCGGGAACAAGGTTTTCGAGCACAACAATGATGAGATCAAAAAGTGAAAAAGTAAGATTGTATTAAGCTTTGTATAGAATATGGTGGTAAGTTTTGCTAGAAAATTTCATGTCATTTACATTAATGATAACTAGGCTCACTATTTATAGTTGTGTCTAGGGAAGAAGGTCCTAGGATCGTGCTCTCCTTTAATGTAAATTATGAGGGTCATTAATGAAGATGTAACGGTGAATATAAATGTCAAATTCTCTATAACGGGTCGTCGCTCTTAATGCTGCAGAATATTCCTTATTAAATGATACCGAGCGCAGAGCATTTAATACACCTTTATGAACGGTATCCCTTCCGGTGACAAGCGGAATGGCTACGTTCGGTTTTCGGCCATCCCCGTCTAGGATTCCACGTGTCTTTCTTTTAGATGACCACGTGTCATATCATATTTCAACCTGTGCAAAGAGTAACAATTCATAGTACTGCTTCTAGCAAAGTTTGGGAGAAACTCTTGTGTTAATTTATCACTGTTTCTGTGTAATTTCTCCTTCATTTTTTCTACAGTAATTTATTTGAATGCAAAAAGGACCTTTTGCAATGGGAAAATGAGGATATCAACGTCAATCTTGTGTAGCCGAGAAAGGTCTACAAACTCATCAAAAATTTTGAAGATTAAGTGCCTAATGAACGCTAATTTATTGACTCGATTCGAAAAAGTTGTATTTCAAGTTAATTAAATAAAACCCACCTCTTTACCATGGAAAAAGAAAAGGGTTGTGCATGTCAATGAAACTTGCGGTAGCCAAGAAGGAGTTCACAATAGAATCAGAAATTAACTTTCTAAAATTAATTAGTGCCTTAAGAAGCCTAAAATCAGTGTCTTTAAGTCTAAAAAGATGTATTTCGAATTTATTTAATCTTTGCCTTCCTAATTCTTTCTTAAATATAAAAGTCTTCGTTGGGCATCCATTCATATACCCAGTCAAAAGACCCTTGGCCTTTAATTAAATTTTGTTAAAGAGTTTTTTCATCTTTTGGAGCAGACATGAGGAAACCTCCTAGCAGCTAATTGGAGATTTTTATTTTTTAATTGTTTTGTCATTTGTGGGGTTCTTTAAATTCGTGCTCTTTTCAGCGTCAATTTTGAGTGGTGTTTTTTCTGGCATGGCTGATTTTTGGAATAAACCTTATACCAGATCATGTATAATATTTTTAGATTTTGTACACTAACAATATCATTTAATTTGTGATAATAGGTTATTTTTTTATATTAAATTACTAATTAATGTTTATTGTAGGCATTTATTTATATTACTTTTTTAAGTTATCTGATTATATAAATATTTTCTATACCGTCAATGCATAGATATTAAACTAACAATTAGCAAAATCATAATTATGTTTTTCTTCTTGTTTTAAGTCATTGGAGCCAAATGCCAATGGGCATTTTGGATGTTTCAGAGTTGAGACACGTATTTTTCAGTGACGAGCTATGGGGGAGGAAAGGGCACCAAAACGTGTAACAACTTACAACTATGAACTAACATAGTTGTTTGGGTGTTCACAAACTGTCGGTGGATTTGGATTAACCTTAAATTTTCCAACTTGCAAATTGTCTCCATCTTTTGAGTCAAATTTTCCCGCAAAAAAAAAATCTTATATAAAGCCAAACTCACGTTACATCAGATAAATTAGTGATTAAATATGTATGCAAGAATATTAGAATTCATGTTTTATTCTCGATTGTCATAATTATATTTTGAACTAAAATTACATGATTAGACACACAAGTTGTAGCTCGGTTAGTAGTACTTTTGTGCCTGCAACATATTCAGGTTAAATTCATTTGTTAGTTTTTTTTTGTAAAGTCATTTCTTTCCCGAACATCTTCGACACGATCTTTAGAAATCATCTGTGTGATCTTTAGTAATTCTATTATTTTCCACAACCAATACAATGTTGTTAATTGCCATATATATTAGTACTCATTCTGTCTTATTTTATATGACAAAAAGTATTTTTTACTCTTAAGGACATGACTTGATATGACCGATTTGATATAAAATTTCATTCTCTTATATGGAAAAAGAAAATGATAAAATGTAAAACTCGCACTACCATTATCATTTAAAAGGATAATCTTTGCACTTTGCATATAGTTGGATTACTTTACTAAAGCACTCGCTACTATTTATTTCGAACGTTGGAATCTGAAACTTTTGGTTAACTAGAAATAGTGGTGAACCTATGTCGGGTTGGTTCGAATTTTTTAATTATCAAACCAAATCAATAGTATCGGGTTTTTAAATTTATAAACCAAACCAAACCAACAAAGTCGGATTTTTCAATCTCGGTTTTTCTCGGGTTTTTCCCCGGTAAAGTCTTCATAGCATAATATATGTATCTTGTGCTCCAAATATTTCTTAAGTCCTAGTAAAATATAACTATATAATGTATTTTTCAAGAAACTAACACAATAATATGAGATAAGTCATAGCATTATACTAAAATATTCAATAACAAAGATAAAATAATAAAATTACATAAGACAAATATTGCTAAATAATAAGCCATAATAAAAATTAACATAATCTAAAAATACTATATAGGTCATGCTAAAATAAGTACAGCTAATAAGTACTAATATTAATTACATAACTAAGCACTTAAGAAAAAGATAAACTAAGTTATGCATAATTTTCATTATAAACCAATATAAAACAAAAATAATTATCCAACACTATCGTCATTCCTAGTATTGAATTGAATTTCTTTTGTTAGCATTAGTATTGATTTGAACTTTGTTTGAGTTACTACATTTATGGGTTTAGTTAAAATCAAACCAAACTAATTATGGTCGGGTTTTATTTTCCAATACCAAACCATATCGGATTTTTTTCGATTTGACTCGAATTATCGGTTTTGTTTGCACACCCCTAACTAGAAAGATCCCGACCATTCATTTTTTCCTCTTTGATTATTGGAGCAAATGAGTGTTTTGGAAGCTTGAGTCACATACGTTTCAGTGACAAGATATGGGGACCAAAATGTGGTACAGCTAACATAGTTGTTTGGGAGTTAACGGACTGTCGGTGAATTTAGATTAACCTTAGATTTTCCAACTTGCAACTGTCTCAATCTTTTGGGTCAAATTTTCCTGGACAGCAAAATAAATGTGATATAAAACCAAACTCACGTTACATCAGATATATAGCGAATATTTAAGAGTAGAATTTCATATTTTATTCTCGATTGTCAGAATTATATTTTTGAAGTAAAATCACGTTATTAGACACAAGTTGTAGCTCAGTAACCTTGTACTTTTGTGCTTGTGGTTGTGTCAAATTCCGTAACCAGCACTACATGTCAAATTTCCTTTTCAGATAACGACAATCTGTTAGAGAGATTTAAATTAGCGTGTACAAGTTAAATTTATTTCAAATTATAATTTTTGAAAGGCTCGTGACAAGGTTGAGTAAGATTGTCAGCTGCAAGAGAAGAGAAGAAAGAAAGTGAGTCGAAACCAGGGAAATATTCTCCACCTTTAAGGCGATAGCACTAATATACATTTAGTTATAATCGTCTCATTTAGTTATTTTTAGATGTATTGCATGCCATATCCATATTGACATGATATTGCAAGGAGAACCCCCTTATTCTTTCTCTAATTCACATACCTTTTAAATATTGGAGGAAATCCCGTATTTGAAACTTTCTTTCTTAATTTTTACTCTACCTTACAATGCATGCCAATTTAAAAAAATGCCTGATACTTAAGAGTGTTAGGATCCTAATCCTGGAATAACGTTGGAAAAGAGAAAAAGAGAGTTAAACTGGACGCAAACAACAATACTCTCTCAGCGTTTCATCACCCTACATATGATATAAGATATAGAAACGCCTTTAGAGTCCATTCTTCAAATTGGCTCTGCTCTTCGCAATCAAACACGAACAAAATGTTTGTAATAATAAGAAAAAAGGTTAACGTTTATGGCTCCAACCTAGTCCCCTTTATATAAGTCAAATCGATCTTCTCCAACGAACAATAAGGCTCTAATCATTCTACAGTTAGAGTCTATTGTTTAGCATCAATTTTCCTGTAACCTTTCACGAAACCATAGCAAGCCAAAGTTCAAAGTTGCGCACACATGCTTTAGGCAACTCCAAATCCTTGAATCCATATCAGGCCTAATAAGCCTACAGTCATAGACATAGTAGAATGCCTGCTCTCGAGATGGAAGGAAAACCAAAATAACTCGTGGCATTGTTGGCATTAAGCAACTTTCCCAAGCGCAAAGTCCATGATTCAAATACCCTTTCTATCCAAAGCTTGTGACTTTTCCAGAGGCACCAAAAAATAAAAATAAAAAAGAAACAAGCTCTTTTCACACAAAGATTGAACATTCCAAAACCCTTCCGGCCATTTATAATAATATGCAAGGCACCTCGCACCCATTAAAAAAGTAACCTGTGCAGAGAGGTTGCATCACTTACTACACCTACCTATGTACAACTCTGGAATACCTGTAAAGCCTAAATATACATGTTACCACTATGCTGCAAGAGCACCTCTGATTTCTTATATAGCACAAGCTAATATTAGGTGCCGGATGGAGGAGTATCCTACTGGTTATTAGGTGCCAAAGATGCAGCCGTGCCTATAGATAAAGGCCTATTATGGTCTACATCAGTTTGATTAGTATCACCAACAATAACACAATTATTCGGATTTGTCTCTCCAGTACCATCTCCATTTTCATGATTACCCGTGAAACTTCCATTCCCACAATGCCTGACATATTGCTCTGCAGCAACTTGGAGTATGTGCATTATGCTGCCAGAATCAGAGCCTGGTGAAAGCTCATCATCCCTCTCTGGCTTAGCATTCAGGTCAATTTCACCTTTACATGGCAAAGCAGAAGATTTCTTCTCATTAGGGTAATTGGGATCATCAGCATAACCCTCATTGTTCAGCTCTCCGCGCTGTGGGCTAAAATGCCCTGCATCATCAATAGATTCTTGAATGTCACCAGCATCAAGCAGTTGTCCAGCCAATTGCGGCTGCAGCTTTTGACAAGCAGCTTCTGCTTCTTTCTCTGATAACTTTTTTTCACGCTTCAGCATCAATGTTTTGAAACGACGCTTTACTGATTTACAGACAATACAGTCACATGATTGCTTGTGCTTAGGACCTTTTCCACTTGGGGGCTGAATGCACACAATGCAGGTACACCCAGGTCTATGACGTGGGTGCTTCGTTGTGGCCTGTGATGATGCTGGAAGAGTCTCTCCCTCTTCTAGAATAGCGAGATTAGCAAGTGCATCAAGCCCATCCAGAGCCTCAACCAAGTCTGTTTCCTGTTTAGAAGCCTTCATTTTCTTGGCAGCTGCACAAAGATCATGTAATTTCAACAAACCTGAAGGACCCCCAATTGATTGATCAAGATGAGGCAAAGACAGAAAGTATTGGCTCACTAGTGTAGAAATTTATGACCTACAGGGACCAAAACACTCGCCTTTATTAATACGAGGCAGTAGGTCTCTCAGATCATTTGCTGTTAATTCTTGATCTGCCGAGCACACAGACCTAAAAAGCAGAAAAATCATAAGCCAAAACTTAATTGCAATTGAAAACTTGAATGAAATTCAGGTATTGACTAAACTATTTTGGAAATGAACTGACATTATTTGATATCTACGTTAATGCAAAAGAAAGCCAGATGCCATTTGCAGAACAACAATCACAGAACATGGAAAACTGGAAAGCTTAAATGATCAATATACTCATATAAAGCAGGACACTCAGTTGTAAAATTCTAGCAAAGGTGCCAAGAACATATTATGAAGATTGGTTCAAAGTCAACTTTCTTAAAGAACAGAAAACCGGAAGTGACATGAGAAAAATGCTATAGAGTTGATTAAACGGACAAACTGCTGAGAGAAGAGAGGAGACCAACCAAACATAGAAAACCTCATCCAATGGCGAATTCCAGATAGCAAGGTTAAGACGGCCTTCAGAACAGGGAAAGGATTAATTTGTGTCCAGATGACAATACATTCAACGATTTTCAGTATCTACCATTTGAAGTCCATTTGATCACGAGTGATTCACTAGGGGTGTCAATGGTTCGGTTCGGCCGGTTATTTTAAGAAATTTATACCATACCAACTTTCGGTAACTCAATTGTATATAACCAAAATTAGACTTTTCGAAACCGTCATAATCAACTTGTTTTCTATATGGTATCGGTAAGGTTCCGTTAACTTTCAGTAATTTAGTTTTAAAACATCGCATAAGAGTCACGCTGTTATTAGGATGTGTCTCATTTGTTATGTATAAGATAATAGCAGGTTTTATTATATAACACATAAACGCAGCCACGCGGTGAGCACAAAGCGAACTATTCTTTCGCCTTTAACTAAAGAATATCGTGTGCTCGCCGCAAATAGTGGCATACGCCAATTTTTTTAAGAGGGATTCTGAAGGAGGATCCCGCTGTTAAAAAATATATATAACTCATAAAATATAGAGTAAGGAAGAAATCTCTTCCAATATAAAACAAAAAACATAAAATATAGGGTAATAGTATTATATATGTTCATCGGCTCCAATTTTTATTGAAAAAGCTTGTATCATGCAATGCTCAGACGAGATTTTGATTTACATGGCAGAGGTTGCATTACTGCAGGTTGTGCACTCCCAAACCAACAACAAATATTGTTCTATCGTAGAACAATTGATGAATTGTTAACCGAAAATTTGAAACCCAAAAGACATAAAATCTAAATAACAGGTAGCATCAGTACAATTTTTTGAAAAAATAGAATTGAGATTTGACCCAAATAATACAAAAGATATAAAGGGGAAGGAAAAAAAACGAAAAAATATTCCTTGGTAGTTTGTGGATGAAAATTTTGGATCAATTTAGTTTCAATAGTAGCAGCGCAGGATTGAGTTTTACCTGTAGCTGTTTTCATCTAAATCCATCCCAAGGTCCAAGATTTTTTTTAAACTTAATATTATATAATATATTTTTTACATATAAATTTATCGGTTCCGTCGGTTTTCAAAGAACCTCTGACATCCCTATGATTCGCCATTACAGAACATTCTCTTTTTATGACAAGCTGATTACTGGAGCTAGAGGTTGTGGACTTCCCGGGATTGCTTAATGCAATCCTCTTCAGCGTTTACACTCACAAAATCATGCGTTGGGTATTTCCTTCATATATTCTATTGTCATTTAAGTGCATATTGTAGATATAATAAAGAATTTCCATCATACCTCTCGGAGTCCCATGAGTTTTCTGAACAGGTCCATCTTGATGGAAGGAGAGCACTGTCAGGAACTTTTCGCCACTTGAAACAGTCCTCACATTGTACCCATTGTATTTTTTCACTGGATGGGATGAATAAAGCATCAGCATTCATTCAACGCAATTTGACACAAACCATGCAGAGCTAGTTGCATATACAACTAATAGTCAGAGTTTAGCAGTTTACCCCAAATGATCCACAGAAGGGATTGCAGGCCTGCCAATAATTGGTGCATCCTGCTAAGAGGAACAGGTCAAGGATAAATAGGACGGGATTAATATCAGTAACAAATATTACAAGGACTACCAACACGAACTGACAAGTGGAGGGAAGATTGGACACATATTGCACGTTTCAGTATTAGCTACAAAATAATTGCTGAGTTTTTACAACCACTGAAAAGAAATTGCCAACAATAACCTCTCAGAACGAACGAGGGTAAAATAAGCATTGAAGAATATTACTCAACCAAAACTTCAACTAAGCAAATAATTTCATTATTTGAAAAAATAACTCATTGCATAGTAAGAAGTATGTCATCACTAGATCCCATCTTGTTTTGGTGACATAATAAGTGTCTGCATACCTTCTGTTCCTTCTACTCTTTTTTTTTCTGAAGTAGGAGTCCTCCTCAAAGTCCTCACACAAGCCAGTTTAAGGATGGGCCAGCCAGAGAAGTGGGGCTCCGGAAAGCTCACACAGTATATATACTTGATAGTACTCAATTGAAAGCAGCATTGCCTTGACGTAATGATTTAGAAGCAATGCAGATTTTAAAGTCCAATGAGAACAGAAGTAGAGGGGGATCCAGCATATAAGGTTTCCAGCACACAAGGTTTATTATGCTATATATGTGTATATAGAAGACACTTAAAACTTTCAAAAATAAGTATATCCATCAAGTGGTGCCCCTCGTGCTTTTAAATTGTGGTGCTATGGAAGATAAAGTATATTGGACTATATATTGGCCTTTACCGGTTTACGCCCAATTTTTTGGATAAGGTAGGTGATTTTATCAATGTCGGTAAACTCCCACATCTAGCAGCATACCACAAAGTAGAGAGCATACATAGAATATGGTTCTCAACAAAAGAGACGCAATCTTCTATACAAACAAAGACGTAATGGGTGCACTAAAGTTAACAAAGAACAAGAGGCTATTTCTCAAATGTACAAAGTCATTTCCAACCCCACAAAACCTCTCCAATTTCTCTCCTTCAACAGGACCACACAAAGGGCTAGGAACGCAATATTGCTCACATATGCAGTACATCCTTCAAAGGTCCAGCATCATTTATTGTACTCCGAACCAGTTCAATACTATCCATACAATCATGTTGCACCTGAAAATGCAACAGGATGTGATCCCACGTCTTCGCTCAAGCATCCACACATAAAGCACAATCTAACATATGTAATCCTCCTCCTTCTCAAGTTCTCAGCTGTCAGTATCAGCCCCTTGGATCCAAACAGATAAGACTCTTTTAGGTGCCCCCTCCCCCCATTCTCAATGTGATATACCCTATGCTTCCAATGCGTACACTATTTCAATACTTATCCTTTTTTTGGTGTGTGTTGGGTGTGTGTGTGTGTGTT